TTACGTGACTCTTCGTATTACGTGACTCTTAGTATTACGTGACTCTTAGTATTACGTGACTCTTAGCATTACGTGACTCTTAGCATTACGTGACTCTTAGTATTACATGAATCTTAGCATTACGTGACTCTTAGTATTACGTGACTCTTAGTATTACGTGAATCTTAGCATTACATGACTCTTAGCATGGACAGTAAGCGAAATTTTACTATTCACAAGTTTTTTTTATATATAGACACAGCTAATAAAGTATGCATTATTTAAAAATATTGATATAAATATCTTAGATTTGAACGAAAATTTCCGTAATTTTTTATATTATAACACTTAAATCACTTCCCTTAAGGAAACGCAGATTTTATTCAAGCCGGAAGACGAATGAACAACGGTAGATATTTATGCTTAGAGCTGCTTAAAATTTAATGATGTTAGAGGAGAATATAATTTTAGTAGTTTGAAAAGTGTAAATTTGGAATTAATATCTGGTGGATTGCTGGCAAAGTTCTCGCCACTTTAAGAAAATTTCGCCGACGTTGATTTTATATAAAACAGGAAGTTCTTGATTATTGAACTTCTGGATGATAAGTTACATCCATTCGCATCGATAGTTTACTCCCAAACTCTAAGCAGATATCTATTCCGTTTTCGAGTAATAAGTCGGCTTAAGTAAGATTCAACTGGACATTAGAAAGTAGCTTAACGACCGAAAAATGGAACAATCTGTTAGTTTTGATTGAATTTTCTTTCGAAACTTCCCAGTTTAGTTTCAGCAACTTTTGACAATCTGTCCATTCTTTCGCCACTTTATGCTCTCTTGTAAGAATGGAAGAAAACTGTACTGTGAAGCCGTGTATATGAGATTTTGCGATTGTTCACAGTAAAGTTTGTCTGACATTTAGGCGCATCAGAGCTTACACTATTCAGAGGGTTCATTTCACCAGTATGTAATTGGAATTGTGTGATAACTTTCCTTTTCATAACCCGAGATATCATTAATTGAAATCTCTGGCATAAATTTCAAGAATTTTACTGAGAAAAGTTTTTATCGTTATTTTAATTAAAAAAATAAATAGAGCTTTAACGACAAAACAATAAAGTTTATTCTCATTTGCCTGGCTTCTAGAAATTTTTATTCTAGAAATTCTAATTTTAATTCTTCCAGAAATTGTTGCTTAATCTTTTCATATATGTACACAGTCTTTGACCTAGTCAACTTGCTGTAGCATGAAGACTTCCCCCGGGGGTCAACTAAGAGCATTCTCGGCGCTTTGGCTGGGTTAGTACCTAGACAGGCTCGACTTCTGGGGAAAATGAACAGTCTTCACAGTGACTAGAACCATTGTTTATTCGGTGCTAAGTTCAGGCTCGGCAAAGACGATATAGTACAATCTTGTCTGGCCCTTGGTTGTGGGGACGCTACATGGTTTGATATCGAAGGTTGTCCTTGCGGGTTTGGCTATCATTAATAAACATTTGGGCCATACTTTGGTCGATGCCAAACAAGCGTTCTTTGATTTTTAAATGGATGCGTAGCTATCTTTGATTTTTAGCTCAATTTGTATCCCACATTCTGCGAAACAAAAATTGTCTCCCTGGATTGACCGGGTGGATGCCTGTTTGGATCCCCTCTAGCAGTAGGGGCGAGTAACCGTGTAAAGGGGTTATCAATCTAGCGACGGTTTCGCTAGATGGGACTTTTCTGAAGAACGAGATTCTGGTAGCATTGGTTTAAACGTGAGGTTTTCGAGAAAAAGCAGCTCCGCTGGGAGAGAAGTTCCAGGTAGCTACGGAAAGGATATACTTGCCATGCGGGATATTTTGAAACTTCGCCGAAAATGTTCCATCTGCAGCTCTGTCCCGGGTAGAGATCAACCAATCAGACGAAAGTTCTGCTTCTGAAGGATCACGCGATCCCAATCTGAGCGATAATCCATTACTTTTCGGCAGTCAAGTCTATTAATAAGTGAAAAGGTAACCTAGCTATGTAGGTTTTCTGGATATGTGCGGGGTTCTGAGAAATGTCCCTTTCGACGTCCAGTCCCGCACAGCGCCTTCCTCCTAGTGCATTGTAACCTGAAGACAAATTGTGGTTCGCTATTCTAATTCAGGTCCTATTTGTTGACACAAGAGGAGTTTAAGAAAGCATCACTAATAAATTAGCTGTCTTCTTTGCCATAATCAAGCGACGTGTTTTCCGGTTGAGGACCGTTACACCAGAGTAACGCAGAGGGGAATATTCATGGTAAAACGAGCATGATTAACCTTTTGCTTTTAAGCAAGGTAGAATGTTCACTTAAAAATGCGGCTTTAATATTTTCATTATTTTTTATATAATGATTTTATTAACTGCTTCATGCTTAGAAATTCAGTAAAACATTCTTTGTAAAGCAAATTAATACTCTCACATCTTTACATACCTCAAATTACTTATTTCTGTTAGTTAGACAATCAAACAATATAAAATCGTTATTTGGGGAATTTTCGAATTTCAGCTTGTTTTCCAATGAAAAGATTTCGCCGTCTTTGCAATCTGTGAAACGATACGGAGAAAATTATGAAGATTAGAAAGCATTTACATTACATGATATGAAAGAGATCCTTAATTAAATACGGCAGAAGAATTCTAGAAGTAGTTAAATTTGCATATATATGATACTTCTCTTAAGTTTGAAATTTATTCTATTTACAGAAATCAACTTCAAAGATTCGAAGGAAGATGGAAAAGTAACTCCCAAATTTTATTGGCTATTGTCAAAAATATGATTAAATTAGGCAAATGTCAGTTAAAGTGCGACGTTAAAAGTCACATTCTGCTATTTACTTCATATTTTGTCATTGTGATATCTTGCACATTGAGAGCGTATGAAATAAGTAACTTAACTTCATTATCAACTCTGATTCAAATTTTCCAGGAAATATTTCCTTATTTCGTTGGCGGATTGAAAGTACATTTAATGTTTCTTTTCATTTTATGCCAAATGTTAGCTTATATTTCAGTTTTAACAGAAATAAATGTTCGCCATTTGTTGCTAAGTACTTCACATAACTGATAAATTAATTCTTAGCAATACATTAGAAAATAATAATATGTAATATTTGGAATTTGCCATTTAAAAGGGGACACATACACCTTAAAACCCATGAGATGCTCGAATAGGTGACTTTTGCAAGAATTGGGATAACTTATTTATTTTAAAAGCAATTACTACCAACTTTTTACAGCTGACTACATAATATAGCTGCTTTCTGAAATAGTGATCAGAAAGTTTGTGTTGCCACAAATATTTTTATAATTTAATCTGCTTTGTGACAACATTTTTCGTCATGTTTTCAACTTGCGCGCACAGTTTCAAACATTCTGTTTCATAATTTAATTCCATATTTAATATATAGCTTTTATAACATTTAGAAACTACTGTGAGCCTAAAATTCTAAAAATTTCATGTTAAATTTTTATTTTATTTTGAGTTAAGTTTATAAAATGTATTTTATTAAAAAAAATTTTAATGTTTTCGTCCATAAAATTTTTCAATATTAAAATATTCATTAGATTGTTGGTTCAGGTAGAAAGTAGTGTCCATATAAAGAATTCCGTCCAATTTCAAGTATGTACCATTAGCTCTTTTTAAAATAGCATGCGCGCAAGGTGGAAACATGGCGAAATATTTTGTCACAAAGAGGATTAAATTACAAAAATATTTGTGCCAACAGAAACTTTCTGGTTACTATTTTCTGAAGCAGCTATATTATGTAGTCAGATGTAAAAAGTTGAAAGTAATTGCTTTTAAAATAAATAAAATATCCCAATTCTTGCAACAGTCACATATTCGAAGATCATAAGAGGTTTAAGGTGTATGAGTCCCCTTAAATTTGGTAAAAATAAACAAAATAATTACAATTTTACGAACTCTGTAAATGACGTATACAATTATAAAGTAATTTCTTCCCCTTTCTGTGTGCTTTCATGGTGTAGCGATAGCATACTCGAAGCGTATTCGGCAGGTCCAGGTTCGAGTCCCGTTGCTCATTTTTCGTGTTTCCTACTTCAAAAGTACCTAATATCTCTACACAATATTTCACCTGAAAAAACTCTTAGGATAACTAAACATTAAAAAAAATTTCCTATAAAAATTATTACTTATATGTACACAATAGCATAATTTTAAGAGTTAATATTGCTCTTTTATTACCGTCTGCGCATTGGGAAATGCAGTTTTTCTTTTTCCTTGGGCTTGCGTAATTGCAGTGTATCACTTTTTTATATTCTTTGCAAAATGAAATAACAGTGAAATACAAGTAATAGTTACTGCAATTAAAATTTATATTAACTTAGTTTTCTATCGAAATGTTAAAAACGTTTACGCTTAAAAGTTGTTGAAGTGCGGCTAAGCCTAATTTTTGTTTACATCAGCAGCCATATTTGTTTACATTTGAAACTTAGCAGAATAGTGAATTAAGTCAGTTTCTGCAGCTTCAACGTGTTTTTTCCGAGTGGGAACCAAAAGTAAACTTTAAGTTTTGTGCATCGAAGAATATGCCTTGTTGCCCGCTAGTCGAATTGCTTATTTATGCTAGAAACTCTAATTTTATTTGTAAAATTTACTTTTTTAATTGTTTTAACTGTATTTGGTGTTTTATTATTATTTTTTTAATTTTCAAATATTAAGGAAGATATTTTGAGATTTTATGTATTTTTGCCTTACCGTGAAGTGAGAACTGAATTAATTGAATGAGAAATATATCTTGATAAAAATTCGATGAAATAAATATAAATGAAATGCAGCAAATATGCGTATAGTTTAATTTTCTGTGCAAGGAAGTCATGTGGTGTCAGCATCAGATTTTTTGCTTCCCATAAAACCCATGATATTTCAAGCATGTGTCAGTTTTTGTCTCTCTACCTAAATTTTTCAGTGAACTATTGAATTTTCAAATGTTAACGCACTTTTGGGTCACCCGGTGTAACGAGTGAAATTAAATTAATATTATTCCCCTTTCAGATCGACCTGTCTGTAGCATGTGGAAGGATTATACAGATGAAGGAAGTGTAGTCCTCAGTTGCCGGTCTTCTGCCAATCCTCCGGCTTTCAACTTCTCTTGGATGCGCAACAATGAATCCATCTTTAGCGAGACCAGGGAGTCAAGTCGCCAGGAAAGCATCATAGCTCTGTCGGGTTCTAATCCCAACGTATATGGAAAATATTCCTGCATAGCAGCCAATGAAATAGGAGCATCCGATCCTTGCTACTTAGATCTAACTGCTTTACCATGTAAGTAATCGGTTTCTTCTTTGGTTGCATTACATTCTTTATCCTTTGCGGCACAGTGTGTTCGGTCTGGACACACATAAAAATTCCCTTCTGTACGCACAGAAAAATTGAATGAAAAAGGATTTATAAGTTACTATAGGTTACTCTGAACCTTCTTTATTTATAGTAGATGCCAGCTCAACACAAACCAGTCCATATATTTTAGCCATGTTTAGTTTTTAAGACCCTCATTTTCAAAGAAATCTTCCAGATGTTTTTAAGGTATAAAAGGAATTGTTTGAAACGATATTTCTATGTTATTTTTTTGGTGTATGCTAATCTCCTTATTCTATATTAGTTTTCAATTTTTACCTTGAAATCTTGCCTAAAATCAAACGGCGAACCCTAGGTGGGCCCAGACCGGGCTCACCGATCATCTAGGACATCTGAGAGTCTGTATTCTTTGTTTCTCCGCATCTCATCGGTCAGTTCATTGACAACAATACTCGTTTCAGCACTCTTTTCGAAGCTCGATTGAATCAGTGTGCCACTTTGGGCACACCCACAGAATTAAAACGATAAGTGCTATCTTCATAAAATTTTACTTGTGTACTCCTCTAGGCTTAATTAGACTGCCTACCTTTTTTTTTTTTTTTTTTTTTTTTTAATCAAAACTCCGATTTTAAAAGGTAGCGTGCCGGAAAGGGTTATGGTATTTTTTTATAACTTTCAAAATTCCAACTGTATGGAAGTATTCTGACAAACAGAAAGTTGCTGAAACGTGTACTGAAGCTTCTTTTCCTGTTTAATAAAAAGCATAAAACATCACTTTTAACACCATTTGGTTCAACATTTTTTAATGTATGCAAATAATAATTTATGTTTCGATTTTCTGCATAATAAACTATCTTTTCGTATGAGAGAGAAGCAGAAAAATGTACGTTTTAATATATTATACTATAAAATTTCGTTTGAAACAGAGATTTCTACCGTAGTATTATTGTCGTTAAGTAAAATCTTATTGTAAATAATGTCTTCTGTTTAAAAAAAATGAAAAGTCGTCATAAGAGTTGCAAATTATAGATCTGTCGAACTTTCCTGCAATAATATACTTTAAACTGCATTAATTAATTTAAATTTCTATATCTATGGGATAGCTGAAAGCTAAATAAATATTATCTTATCAGCTTTTCTTGAAATACCATCCTCTAACTACCTTTCCAGGTATCAAAATTTCAGTATTACAGTGGATGGACAAAAATATGGAAACACCTTGTGAAATGCATGTTTGAAAAGAAAGACTGATTTTAATGAAATATGTAGGTGGCGCTGGCGTTTTTGACTACTGACGCCACCTATACAACTTCGTAAATGTGCTAAACAGTTCAGTTGTTGTCGGAGTACTGTTATGTGAGGTTGTCATTGCATTATGTCAGAGTTAACAGACTTTGAACGTGGGCAAATTGTTGGAGCACGTATGGTAGGTGCTTCCGTAAGCAAGGTATCCGAGGTGTTTAGTGTTTCAAGAGGTACTGTATCGAAGATTTATTCCGCATATTTGAAAAGCGGAAAAATATCATCTGCTAAATCACAGCGCGGACGAAAGTGTATCCTGAGTGATCGTGACAGACGATCATTAAGGGCAATTGTGACGAAAAATAAAAAGACCACAGCTGCAAAAGTTACTGTTGAAATGAATGTTGTGTTACCGAACCCTGTGAGTATCAAAACAATTAGAAGGGAGCTTCATAAACAGGAAATTGGTGAGCTTCATAAACAGGAACTATAGAGCAGTGGAAGCGAGTAATATGGTCTGACGAGTCTTCTTTCACATTGTTTCCCCACTTCTGGCCGAGTTTACGTCTGGAGAACGCCATCTCAAGCTAATAATACAGACTGCTTGTTGCCAAGAGTGAAACATGGCGGGGGTTCTGTTATGGTTTGGGCAGCCATATCGTGGTTCTCTGCTAGCCCCATGATAACTGTGTCAGGGCACATGACTGCCAAGACTTATGTAAACATTTTGGCCAATCAAGTTCATCCCATGGTACAAACTTTGTTCCCCGATGGTGATGGTGTCTTCCAAGACGACAAAGCCTCTGTTCACACAACTCACATTGTCCAGGACTGGTTTTCTGAGCACGAGGATGAGTTCTCCCATCTTCCCTGGCCACCACAGTCACCAGACCTGAATATTATCGAATCTTTGTGGTTTACATTGGAACGGAAAGTGCGTTGTCGTTATCCACCGCCAACATTGTTATCTGAACTTGCCACCGTTTTGCAGGAAGAGTGGTATAATATTCCCTTGGCAAACACACAGGAACTGTATTTATCCATTCCGAGAAGACTGCAAGCTGTTTTGAATGCCAACGGGTTTCCTCCATATTAAGCAAAGAAACATGTTTTTTTAAAGGTGTTTCCATATTTTTGTCCAACCCCTGTATTTTTTCACTGTTGAATAAATGCTTAGTTACGAAATAAGTGATCTATTTTTTCCTGAATATTTTATACCAACGAGTTCTTGAAATTTTATTTATTCTCGTAAAATAATAACAAGTGTGAAAGCAAGTGATGTGAAGACAAATTGTACATTCTGATTGTCAATCCCTCTTCCTGGAGATAAAAACAACTACTTCCTAAGTAGAACAGGTATACTGCAATAACTTTCGTATTCTTAGAAGTATGCGGTCATAAAACTATATTTAATAATAGACAGCCTGAGATGCAAGCATATAATTCGAAAGATTAGTTTTATATCCAAAATATGCAAATTCGGTAGTTTTGTCAAAAGAATGTTCAAGATAAAGTCCACAATTTTATACTTACTGCAACATAAATCCTTTCTTAGACAGTAAAGAATCCATGAATTTAATTCCCAATTTATCTCAGCCACTTCACAAAAACTTTTGCTAAAACTAGTTATAACTAAAACTTGTCTCGTAAGTACTCTTTCTTTGTCTTTTAATGTTCTCTTAGGTGTACTTTTGAATCCAAAGTTAAATAAAATATGAACCCATTATTCATGTTCTTTCTTACTTATATATGTATTTAACAGAAGTCAAAAATATCTAATGGTTTCAAGTTTCTTTTCATTTCTTAAGTTAGCAGTTTTTCTGGTATATGAATGAAATTTTTTTTTACTAAGAAATTCCTAAACTCTCTCAAAAATTTAAATTGCTAATCTGAATTAAAGCGTTTATTTTTTTAAAAGGAATAAAGAATTTAAATTATGTTTTAAATAAAGTCTATTATATTCTTATTTTTTATATTGTCTTTAATTTTTCTTATTTTTTAAAATGGAAGTTTAACGAAAAATGCTTAAAACATAAATTAAATGAGCGTATCAGTTTTTTATAAAATAGATTTTATGTTGCAAATATATTTGGCATGAGATTTTTGAATTTTTATTTTTGATACAGTGTTGATAATTAATGAAAAAAAGGGTTTAAGCACTAAATCTATCTTTTCATTGATGATACAACTTGATGATAAGAATTTGAAAAATATTCCGTCAGTCATACAATTGTAGAGACATCAGGTATTTTGGAAGCAGGTAAGATGAAAAATTAACAAAACATTTCGCCGGGAATCGAACCGCGGACCTATCAATTACGCGCTAAGTGTGCTGACCACTGCACCACCAAGGCTCGCTAAGAAGGCGGGAGAACTATCCTTATACGTTATTTATAGCATATTATATTATACAGGAAAAATAGTATTGAAGTAATGTATTTGAGTTAATAAGAATTTTTAAAAAATAGCCATTTAAAAATTAAAAATGTAAAAATATACTATAAGCCGCTTGAAATGTTTAAGATACCAGTTTCAAAAAATAAATTAAATAAGCCTGTTTTTCAGCTTCTGTAGTTTTGGTCATATGATATTTTTCAACGAATATGGTGTACAATTTTGAATTTTTTAATCTTCCTCGAAGAAAATGCAAATCAAGTAATCTAATATGGAAAAAAAAAAACTTTTCCGTTTTCCATTTAACATTACTTAAGATTTATTTACTTCAGTTTTGAGAACCGTATACATACTAGAAAGGCAGTTCTAAAGTTTTGTTTTTAAACATGTATTTCAAAAACGCGCGGTTAGAAAAAAATGTTAGGCTAATCTTTAGAATATGGTAACAGGTTGTTTAGCGACATTTTGGTGAGGCGATAAAGGTAGGACTTTAGCAATAATCTGAGAAGTACACAGTTCGAATCACAGATTCTTTTGTCTCAGAGAAATGAGAGATTATGAGACATTTAATGTGACATTTTCCCGAAAATTCCGATCGTGATTTTAGCTAATAAGCACTTCGAAACAATTTCGCTGCTAAAGTGCAGAATCGCCCAATTATTTGTTTGGCACATTTTACAAGAGTAAGAAGAAATGAATTTTTGTCAATTTTCTTTGACTTTTTAAGTGAAAATAGGTCGATGTGTACATGAATAAAGTCAAGCGTGTGCGCAATGCCATTTTTGTGCAATTCTGGGATGTTTTTTTAAGTGAAAATAGGTCGACGTGTACATGGATACCGCGTATGTGCAATTCTTAAAAACGCGCGAAGCAGTGGACGATTCTTCAATTTCTCCCAATTTCGCACCTAATCTTCGTCATGATTAAGCACTTTTGTTCCATAAAAGTTCTAGCATAAGCGTAATTCGGCTAGCAGATTGTTGGAAAAAATGTTGAGTTAAAAAAAAAAAAAAAATGCCTTTACTTCGTGAAAACAAAATGGCGTCCAGAAAAAAAACTAGCAAATTGCTGTAGCAGGGTTAGTCGCCAAATTTTCGCCAAAAAATCGCCAAGTTACCGTAATGTAAAGATTCACCAAATATTACAGCATTCTTTTAAAATAATCACTGTTAAATGTACTAATAAAATTTTTAAAATGATCTATTTAGTAAGAATGAATACAGACATATAACAAAAGTGCTTCTATAGCCCCAAAAAAAGTTACATTAGGTAGAAAAGGAGGAAAAGACTATAGAATATTGGAAAGGAAGGATCGTTCATGGGCTTAAAAT